GCTCTGACAAGTGAGAGATGGCAGTCAGAATGTAAACAAGTCATCTTAAAAAATAAATAACTAAGAAAGTCCCGAAGAATAATTGTGTGTAGGAAAATTAGAGCTGAGCATTTATGAAAACCACATAACTAAACATATGTAGTAATTATTTCACAGTATATGTAAGTCAAATCACTATGCAGTACACCTTAAACTTATACAGTTATATATATTAATTATATCTTAATCAAATGGGATCATAAATTAATGAAATAAATAAAAGAAACAGAATTTGCTTAGACATATTTTATCCAGGCTTACCCTTATCATGCTTCTTAATATTGCAATTTGTCCTCCCTCCATTTTTTATTTTCTTTAGTTTACACTATATTTTCTCATCTCAATTGTCACCTTTCAATAAATGCTATAATTGACATATATGTATATATATGTTTTTGTGTGTGTATGGAGAGACCACAATTTCTGTTTAACTGGAGAGCATGAAGAATAGGAGTTCTGTCTGCTCATTTACTGATGTGCTGCCCAAACACGGCTTGACATGTGACCTCCCAATTAATACATGTTCAGTTAATTTGATATTTCCCTTGATCATTCTTGACAGGGTTTTGAAAATTTTACCAGTCTTTTCAAATCCTCCCTATCTTACATTTGTGCTTTATTCCATCAATTTGCACTTTTAGCTAATTAGTTTCTAATACAAAAATGTAGTCTATAGATTTTTCTCTAAGCATTCACTTACCTAAATCCCACAGGATTTTATGCATTATTATTTGTTTAAAACATATTCTCATTGCATTGTGATTTTGGGGTGGGGAGAAGCGTGAGTTATTAACTATGTCTGTCTTTTCCCTCACCAATAGCAATTTTCCTAGTTTTTGTCTCATAATTGATTTCCAGCATAATTCAAAAGAGATAATCTATGTTACTTTAACTAATTAAAATTATTTAAATTTGCCCATTGTTTAATGATATACTTTTTTTGGTAAATGTTCTCTGTGCTTGAAAAGAATAGCTATCTGCAATTGGTAATACAGCATTACTTTTGCCCATTAGTTTCAGAATACTTACCAATTATGTTGCTCCAATATTCAGTATCCTTCCTAATCACAGTGATTTAAACTGTTTTGAGTATGCCTGAGATACTCTTAATTGTGTGTTAAAAATAAATATGCTCATTAGAATATATAGAAAAACAAAAATATGGTTGTTTTCCAAATTAACTTCTATATCAACAGCAAAGATATGTTCAAATTCGATTTTAGAGTTCTCATACAGAATTCTCTTTCTTCTTTGACTATGTCCTATATTTTAGACATGGTATTTATATTGTAAAATAATAAATAACATTCTAATTTTTCTGCTAGATTTTTCTTTCAGAGTCTACATTGGTATATAGAAAATTAAAGAACAGTTACTTTTGTTTATAAAAGATTATTTTCTTCTCCTTCATCAGAGCTAGTCTTCACCTTTAAAAATAGTTGAGTTTTTTCGTTCTTTCTGCTACTCCTACATGGCATATTTCTACTTAATGACACTTCAGAAGTTTTCACTTAGAATTCTCAAACACAAACAAAAAACCCTAGAACTGTGGAACTTAAGCCAACATTTTTGGTTGGCTGTCAATCAAACTTCTGAAATCAGTTGCTATGGTGATTAAATTTTTTTTTCTTCTTATTCTTCTGGGTCTAATTAGAGCACCAGAGTGTATGGTACACACAGGATAAATAACAGCACTATCAGACACCAGGTTTTAGCCACTTATAATTAAAACACAGCATTTAAGACCAGTAGAATGAGATAGAGTTAAAAATTTTAAATACATAGTAAAAATAAGCAATGCTATATAAAAAAACTCATAATCATGTAATGAGAACTGATATAAAAATATGGTTACTTTTAGAGTTTCTTGCAAGTTTTTATTCATTTGCGTATTTGTTCTAAGAGGCTGAAAAGTTTTCTTCTTTCTATGTAGTAAGTCGACCCTTGTTTATCGCGATTAATCAGTTCCAGACTCTACCATGCTAAATTAATTTCCGTGAAGTAGGACTCTTTTTTTCAATTAATTAATTAATTTTTGTTACAGATGTTTCTCCTTTTTCCCCCACTGATTCTCCCCTCCCTCTTCCAACCCGCCCTGTCCCAGCTTTGTTGTCCATGTCCATTGTTCATGCACACATGCATATAAGTTCTGTGGTTTATCTCTTCCCCACTACCCGTCCTCTGGGGATTGTCATTCTGTACCCCACTTCCACATCTCTGGGACTACCCCATTCCTCAGACTGTTATGTTCATTATATTCCACAAATAAGTGAGATCATATGATACTTGTCTTTCTCTGTTTGGCTTGTTTCGCTTAGGATAATACTTTTCAGGTCCCTCCATGTCGTCTCAAAGGAAAAGAGATCTTTCTTACAGCTGCATAGTAATCCATTGTGTATATGTACCACTGCTTTTTTATCCATTCGTCTACTGATGGACATTTGGGCTGTTTCCAGATCTTAGCTATTGTAAATAGTGCTGCTACGAACATGGGGGTACATGTATTCTTTCTGGTTGGTGTTTCAGGCTTCTTAGGGTATATTCCTAGAAGTGGGATCACTGGGTCAAATTTCAGTTCAATTTTTAATTTTTTGAAGTACCACCACGTTGTATTCCATAGTGGCTGCACCAGTCTGCATTCCCACCAGCAGTGTACTAGAGTCTCCTTTTCTCCACACCCTTGCCAACACTTGTTGTTTGATGATTTGTTGATGGCAGCCATTCTGACAGGTGTGAGGTGATACCTCATTGTTGTTTTAATTTGCATCTCTCTGATAATTAGTGATGTTGAGCATTTCCTCATATGTCTCTTAGCCATTTGTATGTCCTGTTTGGAGAGGTGTCTATTCAGCTCCTATGCCCACAGTTGGTCCTCGCCACTTCACTTCAACTTTCCCAGCCTCACTCTATGTGGTTTTTCAAACACTATACTAGAGTGAAGCCACCAAAGTCCAAGCACCAAGTGGCAAGGGCCAACTGTATCTGGAACTAAGTCAGTGTTCTTTTCCAATATTACTGATATATGTAGGCTCGCTCAAAACTTAAAGTGATCTGGCAATCAGTTCGCCAAAGCCCCTCTACTGCAACCCTCCCTCCAAAGGCTCTGATCACTTTTGCCCTTATTTTCCATACAAAAGAACTACCAAGGCAGCAAATTTCAATATGTTGCTGATCCTCTTAGTAAATCAGCATTTTTTCCAAACACAGAGGATTCCTAGAAATGTTTACAATGTTAGAACCTACATACAAATTGTTCAAGAAAAATTCAGTCAGAAATTAATTGTTAATTTAAGTCCTAAAAAGATGGCATTAAATTATATTTTGGAAAAGAGATACATTGGCAACATTACCAAAAAAAAAAAAAAGTTTAAATCTGTGCTATTTGACTAATAACCTAATAGAGTTGTGTGATATTCACATGAAAATGTAAAAACATTTGATGCTGAAAATAACTACAAATGTATCAGAAAATATTCATAAGGTAGAGATAAACATTAATTAATACAGAATTTGAGATTAGTGAAACATTTTTGTTTGGTTCATATATGATAATAAGAATCCACAGCTGAAAGAACAAACTGTCATATGATATAAGCAGGATTTGTACGTCTATAACTTTTTTTAAGATTCAGTATCACACAGTGGTATGGTGGCTTGGGCAAAGTAGTGCTTCATAAAGTACATGGGTTCTAGAATCAACTCTGTCGATAACAGTTTGACGAACTTCGACAAAATCTTAAGCGCTGCTGTTCATGACTTCATCTGTGGAAATGCACTGATAATATCTGCCCCACTTACCCCTCAGGGTTTCTGTGAGGATCCAGTGGAAATCAGCAGATAAAAGGGCTTTGAAGTTTAAAAGCTCCATATAAATGTGAGCTCTTCTTATACTGATGTTATTCTTGATATTTCAGATTTGGTGTCAAGAGACAAAGCAAAGAAGCACACTATAATATTCTAGCACAGAAAGTATTACTAGTAGAGCGGAATATTTTGTCACCTTCATTTTGACAATCTGTAGTCACCTCATTTGCAATGAAATGAGGCAACGACTGGACTGTATTGCGCAATTTTACAGAATTACCCAAATGAGCACATATGGCCCATTTAGCTAAGGATATTTGAATAGGTACTGTTTATTATGAGTCAATCTCCTACAACAATATTACATAGCTGCTATGTAGCTCCTTTAGGAGATCACTTTGCATTTTATGTAATATCTGGGTATTCATTTTTGGTTTTTAAACAAATGACCACATCTGATAATTTATATGAAGGAGTGACAACTCTCTGAAATGCATCAAAGCATACAGGCTTGTTAACCTTGCAGGAATTGGTCTTGATGGATGTTTTACTGGTCTTTTTTCTAAAACTTTCTTTTACATGGAAAAGACTTGCTTCCATTCTGTTTGTCTTTGAAGACACTTGTTTTCCAATGTATCTGCAATTGCTTCACACACACACACACACACACACACAACAACAACAACAACAACAATCCACCATTTAGTTTTAAGTGCATTCTGGTTCTAAATTAAGTATTGAGAGGGGGGAAAAGTAATGTATTTAAATAGTCAAATAAACCTAAATGCCTTGGCTGCTGAGCTATATACATACTCCGTATGTTTCAGAAATTAACACACGACATTGAGTAAGGTTGTGGGAGATGAAAAAAATAAACTGACGAACAAAATAGATCCAGAGACATGGAAACATGGAATAGACTGAGGAATCTCAGAGGGAAGGGGGGTGTGGGGGCAGGAAAAGAATAACCAAAGAACTTATACGCATAACCCAGGACACAGCAACAGTGTGGTGAAGGCCTGGGGCTGGGGTCGGAGGAGCGAGGTGGAGGGGGTCTGCTGGGGATAAAAGGGAGGATTATCTGTAATACTTTCAACAATAAAGATAAATTTAAAATAATAAAGGAAAAAATAAGAAAACATAACACTTTGGCTTACCGCAAATGAAGGTAGTCTCATCGGAATTATCAGCGCAATCATTCACAAAATCACACAGCTTGTCCCGTGCAATGCAGTGCCTGTTAGCACAGGTGAATTCCTGAGCAGTGCACCTCCTGTCTGGGCTGAGCAGGGGAGAACAATCTTGAAAGGAAATGTCGTCCACTGCTATGTCTCCCATGTAACTGACACTGCGTTTTGCCCTAAAGACAATCTAAAGAAAGAAAAAAAGGAGAAAGAGAGAAAACCAGTTTCAGTTGATCTGTCCGTCCATCAAGAATTCAAAATTGGAGCAACCACTAAATACAGGACATTAGACTTGACTCTGATAAAAATGCCCCATGATGAAATGGACCCAGGAAGCTTCAGGGTCATTAGATCTGCACCATCATCAACACCTAAGAATGTCGGAGTGGTAATACCACTGCCTCTAGTGTTGATTTGGGGGATAGGCGGCACCAACCCCCCACTGCTGTCTCTGCAGCTCTCGGATCCCAAATAAGACCTGTGTGTTTCTCAGAGTCTCAACACACACGAAAGCAGTAGGCTAGCCCAGTGATGGAATGTACCAGGAGAAAGATGTAAGCATATCCTTTGCTCTGTTGTGCCCAATTATTTTCATTCCTCAGATCTGCCCACTATAAGTATTTGAAAGCAAAAATATATCAAACCTCAATACCATCAGTTTTTTCAAATTGGCCACATCTTTGGAATTGACTTTCTTTTGATTTGCCTTTGATTAACGTATGTGATGAACACTGTTCTCGTGTGTGTCATTGTTTGGCAGTGAGTTTCCACTCATGTGAACTCTGATAGAATTAAAAGTTATGAAAGCCCGGCCAGTGTGGCTCAGTGGATTGAGCACTGTCCCATGGACTGAGAGGTCCAAGTTTGATTTCTGGTCAGGGCACATCCCTGGGATGTGTGCAGAAGGCAGCCCATCGATGTTTATCTCTCACATCGATGTTTCTATCTCTCTCCCTTCCTCCCTCTCTAAAATAATAATAATAATAATAATAATAAAAACATATTTAAAAAAAAGAAATACAAAGTTACCTCAGTGATTTTACATAAAATATTTATTGTGATCAAACTCCCAAATACCTTTGGACCAAATCTATAAAATTATTTTTCTTGAAAGAAATAATTAGTATTTTTTAAAGATTTTATGCTTCCATTCTAACATGTGAAAAACTAGTTGCTTTCCTCTTAAGCTGAGTGGATAAAATAGTTGAAAATCAGGTGTCGCTTTGGCCTGGCTGGTTTGTTTCAGCGATTACAGCATCAGCCCAAAAAATATCCTCAGGTGAGAATTAACAAAAAAAGAAATGAAACTCAGGTGTTTCCCATTATAAAAAATAATAAAATAAAAATACAATGTATATGTACATTCCTATATCAAATTTACATAAAAGGGATAAATTATTGTTCTTCATAGTAAATGTGTTAGGAAAAATTACCTTTATAAGATTCATTAAGAGCTTGGACATGATTAAAAAGAGGTGAAACTGGAAAAATACTAAGGACTATAACTTTTTTATACGGTAATTTGAACCCTAAAAAACAATGATACACAAATTGGAAAAAAGGCACTCTATTATCTGGATACATAAAAACATTTAAATATGTGATGTAAGGCTCTGTGAATAAGAAATCAGATACCTCAATGAATATTACATAACTTGTTTATCTACTATTTTTTGGATACAATCTCAGCTGCCTGTCATGTCCAAATGATGAAATCATCAATTGTATCTCAATGCTCTATACAGTGTTGGTTAAGATTCCATAGACTTTATAATATTAAATGTGATTAGACTTTTTAAAAAGAGCAATTATAATATATACTTTTTCTGGTAGAATAAAAGCAGGATCAATTATTTTATAAAATGTGGGGAACAATGTAGTATAGCAGTTGGATTATGGACTTCAAGATGACCTGCTGGTGTTCATTTATTTATTTTATATCCTCACCCGAGGACTTTTTTTGCATTTATCTTCAGATAGAGCAGGAGGGAGAGAGAGAGGAAGAGAGAGAGAGAGAAACATACATCAGCTGGTTGCCACCCACACAACCACAACCTGGGGCCAGGGACAAACTGCAACCGAGGTACGTGCCCTTAGCGGGAACCGAACTCGGGTCTCTATGGTCTGCGGGCCGACACTCTATCCGCTGAGCCAAACCTGCCAGAGATAATACTGGTGTTTACAGCTCATCTCTGCTCTTTTGTGGTTACATAACTAGAGCAGGTAGCCTAACTTCTAGGTATTTCCGGATTCTAATCTGTAAAATGGTGATAATAATAGTATGTACCTCATACAGTTTTTGGTGAAAACCAAAGAAGTATTTTTGAATTCACAGAATAGTACTTGGCATTTAGTGTTATATATGTGATCGCTCTAGTTATAAAAAGTATTATACTTGGAGATTCTGTTTAAATTGGCAGGTTGCCAAACAAAACTCTGAAAACTACCCAGTGTTGACTCAGCATGTAATTTATAAAAATATCTTACACTTTTACTCAAGGGTTAGAGCCACTCATCTTTCTGAGACTAAAGGAAACATGGGAGAATCACAGACAATATGATGGCTCATACTCTAACGCAATTGCATAGTACTTTGCACATAGTAGGTGCTTAAAAAGTTTTCACTGAAAAAAATGAATGGATCACGTAAAAAAAAAGATTTAAACAATAAATTTCAATATGTGAAAAATTAAATTTTAGAAAGGCTAAATTAATATATAATTCCTCTTGCTTAAATCCCCTTTGATGGTTATTTCTTACATGATATTATCATACAAATATTCTACTTACACAAAACTAGTTAACATTTCATTCCCTCGGGTGGAAACCTATATCTGGAAGCAATAAAATCTTCTACATGTTACTGTTGAGGATTCTTCTTGCCTCAGTTAAAAGATCTTGGAGATTAAACAGGCAGAATTATTTTAATAATAAATTTCATAATGTGCAAGGCCATTAAATTGCTTTCTAATATTTATTCTTCAGGTTGAAATGATTTCTTGTTCATGTCCTAAATTATCTACAAATGGCCCATTAAGAAAAAACAAAACAAAAAAAACAAAACTAGATTCCAGCAAGAGGCCAAACATACATTGAATGTATCACACCCATCAGTCCAAGAAATTGGGGATAATGCTGTATCTGCGCCTTCACACAGCTGTATTCATCCTGGGTTCTCCTTGGAGTTGAGAGGGGCTAATCTATCAGACATAGCACATGACTGTAGATACAGGTACTGAATATTCACAGCAGAATTGGCTACTTCTGCTTTATATACAGAGGACTAGAAATGTAATAATTAGCAAATATAGCTTCTATCTAGAGATAAGTCGTTCTAAATTCATAGAATTAAGCCTTGCACAGTTAAGAATAACAGATATTTGTCTCACCTTCTAAGAAAACCTCCATTCTGCCAAAATATAAATTTTAAACCATACACACACATTCATGGAGCTCCTATTTTTTTGATAATCCATAAAAAATAAAATCTATACCAAATATCTTGGCACATACTTATTTTCACTTTAAACATTTTAATGAATGTTCTTTTCTTTAATTGTTTCTTTAAACATTTTAATGTATATTTTTTCTTTAATTGATATATATATACACACACACACATATATATATCTCCTATCCTCCTAATAGTATTATAGTCTATGTGAACACAAATACATCATATAGCTTTGTTTCTCCCCCAAATATTTTAGAATTAAGTAAATCTATTATCTCTAATAAAGTTCAACAATCTACTTTAAACAAATCTTTTTTATCAAATTTTAAACAAATTAATGTAGTAACTCTACAGTCTCTTTAAATATATGTATTTATAAAACAGAGGGAGGTGTTCTTTGTATATGAGAGGCTGATTGTGGAATGGAGGATAATCGCCATTAAAATTAAATGTTTCTAGAAGCATGTTTGTCTAATTGGGAGAAGTAAGAACCTTCTGAAATTGGAAAATCCTGTGAAAAATGCTATATGTCTTCATAACAAATCAAAAATGGAATGGGAGGACAAGGAGATGGTTAATGAAGACAATAAATTAGGATTAAAGGAGAAAATCAACAAAACCCCTTATTACCCAAGTACTTGGATTACAAACCTGTGTTTTTGAATGAATGCCTAGAAACACTTCTACTTTTTTCCACTGCGCACCTTGTTGTCCACTTTGAGCCCACAGTTTGGAAGTAACGTTGTCTTTCTTGCTGAGTACCTGCAGAGATAAATCAAGTAAGAAGTGCTGAAATACTTTGTCTTGATATATTTTAAACATGTAGAATTTTTCCAGTTGTTTTTTTTTTTTAATTTTAATATCAACATGAAGTCCCTGCGAGAAAAGCGGAGACATTTTTTATTCGATGTCTTTGTTTTCTATGCAGCACTGTGTCTCCAGGGCACCTCACGAGCTTCGTGTAATAAAAGTAAGCATGGATATCTGCCAGTCAAGTCCCAAGGGATCTGGGCACCATTTAATTAAAACTCTAACTATGTTACTTTTTTTTTTAACATTTTTTAAAAAATTATTTGTTGATTATATATAGAGAGAAAGGTAGAGAAAAAGAGAGAGGGAGGGGGCAAGAGACAGAGAGAGAGAAACATCAATTTGTTGTTCCATTTATTTATGTATTCATGGGTTACTTCTTGTATGTGCCCTGACCAGGGGTCAAACCCTCAACCTCGGCATATAGGGACAATGTGCTGACCAACTGAGCTACCCAGCCAGGGCCTATGTTAGCTTTTTAAAAATCTGACAGCAGTAACAATTGGAATTTTATATATTAAATAAGGTTCATAGAGTCGAAAAAAGCACAAATTACTTAGTAAACACTCTTTTGAGAATGATGTTCCTCATCTTCTTGGGTTCAGTGGGGACAGTGAATGGACTACAGTGGGAGCTCACTCCATTTAACAGCACAGGTGGGTGATATGAGCAGGCATCAACTCATGCTGTGCTAGTTAAACCTGCTACACTTTCTCATCAACACTGTGTTCTCATTCCAAGGGAAACTTCAGATCGGTCTCAGCAGACAAATGATAACAGCTCGTCTTTTCAAATGATACAAAGTGAGCCACCAAGAGAGCAACTGAAGAAACCTAGGAAATGCAGAACAATTCCATATTCTACAATAATGGACTAGGATAGTTTATTTAATCATTTCATTAAAATATTTTTTAAAATACAATGTGCACAAGTCAAAGAATTTTCAGGTGAAGGGTTTGTGATGGTTTTGACTTTTTAAAGTGAAGGTACTTTTTACTGGTTTAATTATTTATTTTTAAAATTAAGTTCAAATGGCTGCTTTTCTGGAGTCTTGACTTTATAATATGTGGCCAGCAAAAATATCACCAAATTCTTGGTCTGTGAAATTCAGCATGTTATCAAAGTCAAGAAAACATAATGTCTTAAAAAAATAAAAATAATTTCTGATGGACACTAGAAAGAATGAGTAGATCTTTGTATGAATCGTAACTCTATATAAAATTTACTAAGGAAAATTGTGTTCATGCAACATAGTAATGCAACATTTAATGTTAAAATAAGGATCATTATTTATTACTATTTTAACTTGTATAATTATGTATAAAATGTTAATATTGTTTTATAATCTTTCATCTACTAATACAAAATCTTATCTAAAAAAAATAAAAGCATATTTTAGATAATTAATCTCAACTACAAACTATACTAGGTAAATAATTCTCATTCTTCTAATGAAAACCTTGCAGTAAATTGTATTGATTGCTTTGCTTAAAGATATTTCTTACAAATCAATGGAAAACAGATGATACATTACAACCTCAATCCACAAGACTATTTGAATGCTTTTAGATTACTAAACATGCACACATACATATATATACAAAAAAGTTTACTTTTAAATTGTTTTTTGTTAAGAAGTCTCATCTATATTAGAGAAAACAATTTTTTCAAAATTCATCCATAAATTTAACATGTTTTTAATAAAAAACAGCAGTTTTAAGATAATATATGTGTATCTAAAATTTTACTTGGAAAAATAAGTATTTAACATGGCCAGGAAAGTTCTGGAATAAGACAATAATGAAATTGGGGGAGGGGGAAACACCTAATATTAAAACTACAATCAAGCTACCAGGAAAGAAGTGAACAGCTGGTCTGCATTCCGTTTCTCTTTCTTTACTGGGGAAAGAGAAAGCAGGTAACCCAAGTGTAATCCCCTTGCAAAAACGCTAAATAAAGACTTTCTAAAAATCAAATTAATGGTATTTGACATGGGGATAGTTCTTATCTATGGCGGCCTTTAAAGATATAGCTCTGGTCTAAAACTGCTCATGATAAACAGTTCTGCATTGTTGGAATTTATTTTTTCAGACATGGCTTCCTGGAAAATGTTATATTAGCTATGAAACTGAGTATAAATGGAGATGCTTTAAAAAACTGAGCTGGCTTCTTCTATGTAAATCATGTATGTCTACATTTTACATGCAAGCTACGCTGTCTATTGTATAATTTCCAGTTCGGTAAGACAGGACCTAGGGTGTGCACTCAGATTCCAGGACTTCTCACTGGTTTGCCTGTACAATGTAGTCTTCTGAAAGAAACCAGGGCCCCAGGGAGAAACAGCTAACTCCAAGGATGGAACTGGATAAAAATAAGATGAATCTAGCACAGCTTTTTGGCCACAGTAAAAGGAAATAATCAAAGACTACGGGGCTTGTCAAGGAAGCATAATCGTCAGCTTAAAGGGACTCTTATGACCGAATCCGCAACAATTTAAAAACCATTAGATAATTAACGCAATGGATAAGAAATTGAATCCACACTGACATAAATAAATGAATCAAAATGGATCAATAAATGGAGAGAAAGTTTTGGGTTGTTTTTTTTTTTTTTCTTTACAAAATAAAATCAACCTACAAATATAGACAAAATAATTGAGTTGGAAAATCACAATGAGATAATCATCATAGTAAAATTAACTCCATCAAAATATACTAAAGGGTGCAAAAAATAGTAGGTAAAATTAAATTGAGATCAGAATTTTACATACTCTCCAAATATATCTTCACAGATATTTATTTATTTATTTATTTTGTTTGTTTGTTTTTTTTAATCCTCATTCGAGGACATTTTTCCATTTTTTGTACAGACAGTGTGGGAGGGAGAGAGAGGAAGACAGAGAGAGAGGGAAACATCGATGTGAAAGGGACACATCGAGTGGCTGCCACCCGCACGACCAACCAGGGCCGGGGACAAACTGCAACCGAGGTACATGCCCTTAGCGGGAACCGAACCGGGTCTCTCCGGACCGCAGGCGGACGCTCTAACCGCTGAGCCAAACCGGCCAGGGCCACAGATATTTATTGATAACAAAGGGGCCAAGAGGCCTGAGACAGAGACTGATGGCATGTACTAACCGATGGGATACAGTAAAATTAACGCAGTATTGGTGATGTTGCAGAAAAAAATATATAACATTCAACAAATCCAAATTGAGGAACATTACAACATCGCTGAATGATAATTTTTAAGATATCAATGTCACACAATTCTAGAGAAGATTGGGGAATCATTCCAATTTGAAAGAAACTGAGTAGAAATAAGTAGGTATGTATTGTAAAAACTGACTTTGTTCCTATAAAAGATGCTTCAGAAACAATGAGCGAGGGTATAATGTTGTCTACGAGATTCTTGAAACCTTCTATGAGTTTGAAATGCAACTTTCTTTTACAAAGAAACAATTTGAAAAAGATTCCTGGCGCATCACTGCCATCAAAAACGACACGAAGAATGCCCGTTCAGTTTTTACTAAAGTGTGTATAATCATCTGTGCTATTCTCAGAACATTGACACTGAAATCTACATGAACCATTTCAGGTATAAAACTGTATTACACAGAAGCTATAACCTCCGAACAAAGACAATCACCATAAATTCAATAGTAAAAGAAACACATCCTCCTAGCCATTCAGGTCCGATTGTGCGAAAGCATTTTTTCCAATCATACCATGTTGAAACTAGTAAAGTGTTGACCATTGTTCATTTTCATTTATTAGTAGACTACATTTTGATAACAGTAAATTATACATGATGAATTGTGATATCACAGATTCAGAAAATGCAATATTCTAAGCGGTACCTGGAGAGAGCCGACCGTGGCGCCGTTCATGTACGTCCAGAACACCAGCCTACACGTGGGCCCGGTGCGTGAAATAACAGGAGTGAGGATGTCGGCCACGTCGCCAAATTTTCCATTTGAGCTGTCAGCATACAAGTACCAGCCATGTGTGGTATTTCTAAGGAAAATATGATGTGTTTATAAGATAAGAATAAAAAAGAAAATCATAAAATATAGTTTGCCATTGGTCATATTTTATCCTTCTACAGTTCTTCCTAAAAGTGTTAACAATGTTTTATAGCATAATGATGACTCACAACTTTCAGCAGAAATAATTCTTCTATTTTGATTTTGAATCCACATATCAATCGGTACAATGTGTGTAAATTACAGTAAAGGATGAAATTACCAGGTCTAATGTGTAATAACTTGGTGGATTTATTTTGTATTACAGTGATACTGTCAATATTCTCACTACTTTGTAGAGCTTATTTTCATGTAAGTAAAATGAGACGCTGAAGCACTGAATACCTTAAGAAGGGACATTAAAAAAAGACAAAAATACATATAAATAAAGCATAAAGAAAACAACAGAATGGAAACTAGCCTGGAGTTTTTTCATAGATCTAAAAGGCTACCAGGTTCAAATTTACTCTCTATTAATTTAGGTCAGTTTTACTTAAACGTAATTTTTAAAGCTGGTAGATAATCGTAGTATGTCTTTTCTTTCCTAACTCTAAATAAAAGATAAAAATAATGATGAAAACAAGTAAATATCAATGCAATCTTGCCATACAGGACAGGGCACTTTATGCCCCCACTTTCAGGATCAATTCGAGAAAGAAAAGAAGCCCTGGCAGGTTTGGTTCGGTGGTTAGAGCATCGATCAATGAGTCGTGGGTTTGATTCCAGTCAAGGGCACATACCTCAACTGTAGTTTGGTCCCCCGCCCTGGTAGGGGTTGTGTGGGAGGCAACCAGTTGATGTGTCCCTCTCACATCTATGCTTCTCTCTCTCTCCCTCTTGCTCCTTCCCTCCTACTCTATCTGAAGATAAATAGAAAAATAAAATAAAATAAATAAAAGAAAAAAAGGAAAAGAAAAATTTAAAGATGTCTTAGGTAACACACAGCTTTTTAAAAAAATTAAATGTATTGGGGTGACATTGGTTAATAAGATTATATAGGTTTCACATGTACATATCTGTGATGCATTCCCCACAATTTGGGCATTCTGGAACTCTCTCTTTGATTTATTAGATTTCTTACCACTTTCTCACCTAAATATGATGCCACATAGTATAGAGTTTAAACCTGCTAATTATTAACACCTTTTTATGTTTTGAAAGTTTTATCATTTGAGCATTAAATGTGAGTCATTAATAGCAGATAGATCGAAAGACAAAAGTGTTCATTCAATCACCACAAGTGTATTGACTTCGTCCTCCCAGTCTTGCCCGTCAAAGGCATTGGGAACACGACTGTGAGCAAAAGACACACAGGGTTTGGCCTCTGGCCTCATCATTTATTAGCTGGGCCAAGTGTAGGTAGTTTATTAAACCTTTCAGAACATATTTGTTTCTTCATTTGTAAAATGGATAGTTCCATGTACGATCTTAATAGGAACTAGAAATAGAGTAAGTGGAGTATCTGACACAGTACCTGGCATATCGTATATATTTAATAAATGGTAGCTGTGATTTGTGGTTATGTTTATGTCATTATGTCATCAGGGAAGCTGAGTTATCCCTTTCCCCACTGAGTGCTGGAGGTGGAGTCCTGATGATACATCTCAAGAAAGTGAATTTTCTGAGACTTGCATAGGAGGATGAGTAATTTTTATTTGCATGGTGTTATATCTTTGGGTTTCCAGAGTCCCATTTCCCTTAATCCAGTCCTGGAAGATGTGCAGCTGGGGATTCAGTGAAGCTAGAAGCAAAGCCAGTGTCCAAGTTTCCTGTCCATGTTGCGGCCGGGTCCAGTTCAGCTCAGGCCAGTTCCAGTCCATTACCCATTGTGTGTGCGGTCCGCACGGCCATTAGCCATGTGGGCAAATGCAGGGGAGCCAAGAGAGCATGCCCCCTGCAACAAGAGCCCCAAGAGACACAAGAGAATGTGTTTCTTTGTTCAGAGGATTCACTATCCCAGATTTTGTGCCCTTGCAGTGGCCATGACTATTCTAGCTGATGACCTCTTCCCAGGTATAATTGACAAGCAAATATCTTACCCGTGTCACCCCAACTTTACTTCCCTCTGTTGGACCCCTGTGGAGTGTAAAGTTGTGCTTTTCTAGCTAAGCTGCCCAGATGACATGCCTATAATATTTGACCTTCCCTTTGTTCCTTTCCTGTTATTAATAACCAGGTTAATTACAACAGTATCAATTAGTTGTTGCTAATGTAATGAGTTTAGCATCCTGCAAACCACAGAGGATATAAATTAAGATTATTTTTAAGAGGTAGAATTTTATATTAGATTTTCTGAATTGTGTCTCAATGAGAAAGCAGTTCCAGCATTGTTCCTTGGGTGCTTGCTACCCCAGATTCCCAGAGATACCAAGAACAAAGAAAATACATGAATGACACACTGATTTTTAGATCCACTGAGATTGAGCACCATTTTCATAGATATTTTTTCCAGAAATTGACAAACTGATTCTAAGCTTCAAATAGAATAACTATTTACGGTATCAGGTCAATTCTAGACTTATTAAGGGGATCACCTCATAAATTATATAAATGTCTAACCACTATACCACACACCTGAAATTAATATAATATTGAATGTCAACTGCGATGTAAATTTTATTTATTTTTTGAAAAGAAAGAAATACCTAGGACTAAGCATAGCCCATATTATTTTAAAGGAGAAAAAAAGTTGGAGAATTTACTCTATCAAATGTCAAGATCCTTTATAAAGGTAGAACAATTGAGACAGTGTGGTATGTCACATACTGGGTTATGTAGCTGCATACATACAAACAGGAACTGGATAAACTATTCCAAAACGTTAAAATGATTATAGCTCTGTTTGGTGAGCATGTATATTTTGTTTCCTATACAGTGCATGGTTCATAGTAGGCCCTCAAAATTACTTGATAAAGAAAATAAATGAGTTTAAAATGAGTAGAACACGTGGACATAAAAGATGAAGGGAGTGGGAGAATTACGGACTCCGATGAAACCAAACTAAAAAGTATCACATGTTCCAGATTCTAGACTGGGTCAAAAACAAACAACCAACCATCAGAAAAGACAGAAGAAAGCTCATAATGGATCTGGAGGCCATGGAGGAACGAAATGACTACAAGTCACAGGTCTGGCAATGATAAAAGCATCTATTCTATGGCTCAACTGGAGGTCCCTGTGTTCGTATCCCAGAAAGTATACAATGAAAAGCATGGTAATTTTTAATTTTGCCAATCCATCATAATTCAAGAAAATTCAGTCACAAGAATAAATATAAATAGACTATTGAAGCAATTCTTTATAATTAGATATCCCTGAAAGATCTCCTCATCTGCCAGGAAAAGAAGAGAGACATGACAGGAGATCAATTTGAAAATTTCAAACAACAAAACTGCACTTGAGTGTTTATATCGCACTATGAACACAGTTACCAGTGTAGCAGTGTATTTTATATGCATTAACTCGGGGCACATGATGTATATACGATTCCTAATGGAAAAATGAAGAATTACACAAACATTTGCCTGTGTCTGGGATGAGATTATTCAACCATGTACCTGCAAAGGAAATCAACTCCCCTCCTAAAATGAGTACAACGGTAATGATCACATCTAACTGTGCTATCACCCAGAAAATACCAGCTTCTCTCGACCAGCCTTCAAACAGTCTTTTCTCATACAAAGCATATAGTAGGATGTTTTATGGAAAGATAGCCTTTTTAATAAAACATGTCATAAACCACAAAGCAGTAAAGGTGTAAAGAAAGTAGTGTTATACAGCCAGGTGTTGCAAATGGAAAGATCCTAGGTGATGATGTATAAGTTCTTTAAAAAGTCTTTATAAAGAGAAATCGGATTTATAGTTTATGATATTTTAAAGAAAGTCTCCTGGGGTTCACAGGCAACCAGTTTCTAAAGTCATACCATTACACAGATTAAGCAATTAAAATATTATCTCCCACCCCTTATTTGAAAACCTCTTGGGTATTTACTTGAATTAAATTAGTAAAAAATACTCTTGCATGGACAAATTAAAATATTTTTAAGTCAGATCAATTGATCTTTGATCTTGTAAATATACCAGACGAAGGGCATAGTCTTCAGGCTTATTCTTTAGGTTGACATATACCTGTTGATTCATAATAATATCGTAGGCTGTTTTAACAGAACCGATCGATTTATCTACTAAGAGTTGTCATGAACTTTATTAGCTTCATGAGTAGCAGAAATACACTGTTCAGTAGTACAGTTCTTACCATGGTTTCCGTAGCCTTAATCTAGTATGTGTAGTGGACCATTCCTGCTGTGTGGAATGTTTCCAGCTCTCCCCCAGAGCTCCACGGTGTATGCTGAACAGCGTTTCCGATCCACCAACTGCTGGAGTAGGCTTCTTAAACCAGACCAATTAAAGTTCTTGCATAGTGTTTTTAGAATATAAATCAAGGGGAAGTATATATTCTTTCTTGAGTTTCAAATCTCCTTACTAGCTAACTCCTCAAGGTTTGAAACCAGTTCTGTTTGACTCCAAAACTCTACACATGCCCTCTACACTGTGCTGTAGTATTGCAGAAGAGACCATAAAAAGTAAAGTTATGTTTGATCTTATCCATCCTTTCTAAAATACCCATCTGGTTCTACCACCCTGCTGAGAAAGCTCCAGTATACCTTTACTGACTCCAAGTGAGGTTCTTAAGCTAAACTAATGTTGGTAAATAAGAAACTTCAGTAAAATATACATCAGTTCACTACCCACACTGTTCAGAAAACTGACATTGTTTTGTTTTGTTTGGTTTTTCACAGAAAGACCTTCTTGATAAAGGGAACAGTGTATTAAGTTGCATTCAGGTGTAAACTCTCTATTTAGTCATGTTTTTGTAACTAACAACCCACAGACGCACACTATGTACTACACTGGTGTTTAATAGGGTCAGGGGATGTTTCCTACATAGGCTCTACACTAAATAGTTTAGCCTTTGAGGACCGTACAATCTCT